ATTTTGCTTTATTTGTGTCATCTAGAAAGTCTAGAAGACTGATAGACTCTGATATTTAGCCACTAAGTATTCCATATTATTCAATTCTCATAAAGGTAGCAGGAAGGCGCTGGATGCAGGCCGCCACCAACCGGCCATTGCGGAAATCATTGGGGGAGCCCTATGTTCAGCAGTGGACGTCTTATGGCTGGAAATGATGATGATTCCATATTATTTCGCGCCAATCTATTGTTAGAAATTTCATAAATAAAATTGACAGACTACTCGTATTTTAAAATGAAAAAAAAAAGTAAAGAAAAAATTAGTGACTTCAAAACTACCTAATTATTTTTAGTCAATACTATGAAAAGCTAAATATTAAAGTTTTGTATTTTAAAGTAATACAACAATTTTTTGAGGTCAGTGCCCGGTCTGTATAATGAAATCTACGTTTAACCGCCTCTGTGGTCTAGAGATATGACCACCTGCTTCAGATTCATTCAGGTCCCGGGTTTTTTTCCCAGTTGGGGCAAAACTTTCTGCTCGGTTTGGTTGGTGGTAGGGCTTGCTCTATGTCCCTATGGCCTACCTAAGTATGTCGCCTTAATAACAATGTTAACAGCATTGTTGTGTTCGGACAGTTGGAGGTAGCCAGTTCCTGTATGGTTGGGGATACCAAATAAAGCTCGCTTCCACCTTCGGCCTGATCATCACTTTCCATCAAATGAGATGCAGGCCAAGAGCTTCCTCGTTGTGAATTGAAAAAAACGTTTACAAGATTAACATAGGAGGTACATATCGTTCGTTCATTCGTTCGTTCGTTTCAGCCGAATGACGTCCAATGCTGGACAAATGAAAGGCCTCCCCCAAGGATTTCCACAAAGACCGGTCCTGCGCCGCTCGCATCCAGGCACATCCCGCGGCCTTCACCAGATCGTCGGTCTACCTAGTGGGAAGCCTGCCCACTAACATAGGTATACAAAAACTGAAATTTAGAAATTATTACAAGTAAATTGTTAACCTCCTTTTTTGAAGTCGGTTAAAAATTGCTTCTATTCGATTCAGGATTGACGTAAAAATAAGTAGAATCAGCAAATATAGCCGGACGCAAGGCAAATACTTATTTTTGCGATGCGCACCTTTGCTGCTGACGGTGACCTCAATAGATGTCATACAGGGTGTCTTGCCAATCTAGTTGTGATATAGTTGTTGCAATTCACGAAGGCGAGTGAGCTTTACATGTTGGTGGCGCTACTCTTCGTTTTTCAAAAGTTTTGATAAACATTGCACTATCGTTATATGCATGTACACGTACACACACAAGTATAGCTCACTCGCCTTCGTGAGTTACAAGAACTATACAAAAACAACCATGTTCTATTGTAGGTACTTATTTTACCAATATTAACAATCGAGACGAAAGTAGGTACCTACAGTACCTCTAGCACGAAATTCGAATCACCATCAAAAGATTTAGTACGAAAACTACAACAGCGCCCTTGTGAACGTCTCGTAAAGTGAACAGTATGAGAAATGGTTGCACGAAACTTATTTTGACAAACAAAATTGTCACGTTATCGTTTAGTTCGAAGGTAGTAGAGTACTTATCGAATTTTTTCGAATACGCAAACGATTCGAAGACGAAAGTTGTTCATGCTAGAGGACAGAGAGCCCTTCTAAACAAAGTAACATTAAAGTTTGCAATCGCTTAACGGAGCGATATGTTACTAGAAATAAAGACAGATCGAAACATTTTCGCAATTCAAACTGCCACGCAAGAAGTGTTGCTTTAATTTGTTTTTTTTTTTCATAATTAAGTTCAGTCGTTATTAAAGTTTCTTAGCGCATTGAGAAACTTTAATAACGAGTAAATTTTAAATAAACAACTTGAAAAAATATAATTAAGTTCTGTCATCGTCAATTTATTTTATTTCCATTTCATGGATTAATTATTACATTATTTTAAACTGTTTATTTTAACATGCAGTACATTTTTACGTTCAAAGTTACAATTCATTGTAACCCGGTATAGTGCAGAGTTCAGAAGGTATAAAACAATACGTTTTACTTCAAGAAAGTTAGTGTTCTGGACCGATTTACGACAAAAGTAAGTCTCTATTTTAATTATTTGATACTTAATTGTAATTATTTTCATTTTTTTTTTGTCTCCGTCACCAATAGTTGACTGGTAGATATAAAGTTAGATTTGTACTAGATTCAATGTTGATTCAATAGTAGATTTACTTAACTGGTAACTGATTCTCATGGCATTAAGTCCGCCAAATCTGTCGTTAGCTCTCATCAGTATTCGTTCAGCTCATTCCTTTCATAATTTATTGCAGCCCATTACTTATAAATTAGGTGTTATAAAAGCATACAGAGATCGATTATAGAACCTTTATTACTTATCCCAGTGCTAAACGTCTTAAAGTTCCAAGTTGTGTTCATAAAACTAATCATTTTTTCATCTTTCCAGACATGGCCTTCAAACTCGTCGCCCTCCTGGCGTTGGTGCCAGTCATCTACGGCAGCATCGAGGTCAACATCCTGGCTGCCGATAACCAGGCTGAGAGCTCCGTGGACATCTCTGGAGCCAACATAGACATCATCAGCGACACAGAAAGAAACACCTTCCAGCTCTCAGACAGCAACCTGAAGAACGCCGTCGGATCCTACTTCGGGCAGCGACCTGACGACGCATNAAACAAACAAATGATATCAGTTCGGAAAGGAAGGCATGTGAAGATGAGCCAGCGTAAGTCGCGAATGAAAAACACCATATAACAAAGACAGCACCTTCTAAATACACAAAAAATAACGTCAGCGTAACGCACGTGCGAACAAAATTAAAGCCTTACAGTTAAATAAAAGTTTATTTTGCATAATAATGGGAAATGTATCACTCAAAGAGGTTAAGTAAGCAAGTTTGCTAAAAAACCCGATTATATGTTACCACATCAAATTCAATGTCTGCCTACAGTATTACTCAGGAAAACAAAAATATGAAATACAATACAACAAGAACTGAATATTGTATGCTTCTATAACAAGGATATCGTCTATGATGGCATTTAGCCTGTCCTCATCCATTACAATTTACAACACTGTTTTTAAGATAAATCACTTACCTGATTAGAACCCAGTCGGTCTAAAGGATAACTGTCGTCTACAGATCATTTTTATAGAATCCGAAGATATAGGCGTATAATTGAGAATTAATGGACAATCCAATTAAGCAGTTTAACTGTTTTTGTGTTTTTAGGTCTTATGTGACTCGATTTTGTTAAGATTTTAAAGCTATTTATTACTATGAGATCTCACAGTGCGCGTGGAAGCACAGGTTCACACACGAACCAATCACAGAGCGCTATTCAACGCTGTGCGTTCGATTTGCTGCTTACGAATACGGGTGTAAATCAATATTCTTCTAAAATTCCGTCGTCTCCGATTTTTCCTCAATTTTGCTATTGCGCTATTGCTATTGCGCTTCGTCTATGTAATCTTTGGCTTACGAATGGTAACTACATATTCAAATTCGAATGCTCTTCAAAGTTCAAATGGCTTATTATTTGGATTTATTTACAATGGAGGTGTAACTCCCATATTAAGATTAGACTCATCCAATAAAGAAGCTATAAAGATAACGCCAATACTTTAATAGAAATAGCAAATTAAGCGACGGAAATTGTTATTGTGGTTTAACAAAATATGGTTTTAATTCAAACTGTAATGACATATCGAATTATGTTTATCATATAAAGTAAGGATATAGATTTGTTCAAGATCATTATGAACGACTTAACAGAAAGGTAAGCAATTTAGAATCTTAAATCTTATTAATGACAGCTACTATTAAAATGAACGGTCCTGCGCTGCCCGCATCCAGGCTCTTCCCGTGACTTTCACCAGATCATCGGTCCACCTAATAGGAGGCCTGCCCACGTTCATTGTGGAAAACCTTGGGGGAGTCCTTTGTTTTTGGCTGAAACGAATGAACTATTAAAATCCTGAAGACAAAGTTCTTCAATCTCAAAATTCATAATTTTATTATGCTTTCATCCTAATACAGGAATATAAACAATTGAACGATCCTCTATTCTATTCAGATTCCAAAGATGTGGTTCAAATTCCTACTCGTGCTGCCAGCCTTAGCCTCCGCCAAGATCAATGTCGACGTCGTCGCTACAAGCGATTCTGCCACATCCAAAGTGGAATACTTTGGATCTAGCATCGAGCTCATCACCGACGAAGACATCCGAACCTTCGGCCTTACCGACTCCAAACTCAAAGACGCAGCCCAAAAATTTTCAGGAGGAAGACCCGGCGATGTCTACCTAAAAAGCCCCACTCCTTGGAACGACTTGTACAAGTCATTTGGCTGGTCCCAAGTCCAGAGAACGCTTCACCCCAAAAGCGCAAGGATCCTCGGCATTCGGAGCGAGCCTGTTCTCCTCGTGACCAGTGAATTCATCAATAACAGCTCTGTGACATCCACATACAACGCAGGCGTGACTCAGCAAGTTGAAGAAACCGTCTCTACCACATGGTCTGTTGGAGGGGAGATGAAAGTCGAGCAGGAAATTAACTACAAAGTTGATATAGGTGTTGGAGAAATAGGTGGTGCAACACGCTTTTCTTTTTCCGCGTCTTTTGGCAAGGATACTACCAAATCAAAGAGTGTGACTGTGGGATCCAGTCAAGGTGTTCAAGTGCAGCTGGCGCCTGGCCAAGCTGTAGTAGCTTCGCTGCAAGCGACTAGGGGATCGATGGAGATCCAGGTGGATTACTCGGCCAGTTTAGATGGAGACATAGCTTGCAACTACCCCGGCAAATTCAAGGGTCACTACTTCTGGAGATATGACTTAATCGCGGTCCAGAGGGCTAGTGGTATGAAGACGACGGTGGATTCCACGGAGATAATTAAAGTCGGGTTCTACTTCAATGCTCGGGTGGTGGTCTCTGATAAAGTGACTGCGAACACCCTGAATATCTACTCAGCTGCTATTAAGAAAGAATAAGAGGCTTACTCCTACTAGGTGGACCGACGATCTCGTAAAGGTCGCGGGAAGACCCTGGATGCGGGCAGCGCAGGACCGTGCATTGTGGAAAACCTTGGAGGAGGCCTTTGTCCAGCAGTGGACGTCATTTGGCTGAAACGAACGAACGAAGAGGCTTACACAGCTGCCCAGCCGGGCTTGGATGCGCGCCGTGATATATTCTTATCGATGATTTTAAACGTCAAAATGCAAAATCGATAAAATGGCGCGCCCGCTAATTGTGGCGCGCATATATTTTGTGATAATCAATGTTTTATTGAATTCCCTACAATTAATTATTAACTGGATAATTCATACACAAATTATAATAAAAAAAAAATACTTTTTTAAAAACAAGCTTTATTTCGAAAGCTTGTATCGCCTACCTTGTATAATTTATACCTCTTTTTTCTGTTTGCGCTACAAGCTTTCGAAATAAAGCTTGTTTTTAAAAAAGTATTTTTTTTATTATAATTTTATTTTACACTTTTTAGTTGTATCTCAATCTCTGGGCCCTGATCATCATTTAGCACCAAAGTGCTCGGGAAGTCGAATTCAACGAACCCAAACTCGATAAGTTTCCGCTGTTTCGTTTAGGAGTTCCTATGGCCACCTCCTGACTCCATCATCAGACCAGCTCAATGGTACCATAACATTGCATTGTCATCGTAATTACATAAGTATACCAAATTTCAGCTCAATCGGTTGAGGAGAAGTGGTCTTAAATTCAGTCGCAAGATTTGTCCCACACATACTAACAAGTGAAGTCAATATAAAGCTTGTAATAAAGCTTGTAAAAAAATAAACAAGCATTTCCTACCCTATCCGTGCAAAATCCGATTTATTTTCGTTCATTTGTTGAGGAATTATCTTAAAATTATTTAATTTAGAACGCAGTTAAATAATCTGGCTTGCTATTAACTTGTTTGTCATATTCTGAACTAATGACACCGGGAAAACCCAAGTATTCTGAGATACTGGAACTGCTGACAGTTCATCACCATTCTTCAAACACATGTCCCAGTTATACAATTAAGTTTTTGTTCCTTAGTTGATGCATAAAGAACCAATGACAGTCGACGATATCCTATTTTAGCCAATAGGAATGGCAGAAAGTCACACTTGAATTGTAATATTCGTTAATTTGAGAAATAAGCATAGAAATAAGTCAAGCAACTTCCTTATCATTTGTTTTGATACAGTACTGTGTGTCTTCATTAATAGCAATAAATATTACAGTTATCAAATAGTAAGAATTATTAGTATGATCTTATTTCATTCACAAGATTCGCATCCTAGTGTGGCGTGGTTAGAATTATTTATTGTGATTTAGTTTTGGCTTTTGATAAGTAAAATATTGTGGCGGCAGCGCTTAAAATGAAAATATTCAAAATATTTTTGTGTTTATTGTTATTATCACCGACTGTCAGATCTGATGGTATGTAATTTATTACTTATACAAATTAAAAAGTAGGTAATCCTCTAATATTATTACAAAAATCCTGAGTGTTGAGAAGTCGGTAAAACATCCACTTTAACAATCATAAATAGTTTCTCATAAAAAGTAGGATATCTTGATTCTTTCTTTTATACATGAACAAAGCGCCTGTAAGATTACAACAGCAATTTCACTTTCAGAACCCATCAGCATTGTAATAAACGCAGGCGCAGCGAACGCAACTTTCGATTTCCATGGCAAAATCGAAAATGACATTTCAGATGAAGACAAAGATGCGTTTGATATAACTGACGACAACCTAAAACGAGGAGTTGAAGCCTTAATGGGAGCCTGGCCAAATTACGTTTCTTTAGGACACTGGCAAGATATTTATAAGCAAAGAAAGTGGACGCCTGTTAAAATAACCCTTAAACCTATCAAAGGAAAAGTAATAAAAATATCCAGCGAGCCTGTGATCGTTTCAACACACACATTAAACAATCTTTTTTCAAACAAAGCTACGTTCAAGGCAGGAATATCAACGGAGGTCAGAAACTCCATCACCAGTTCCTGGTTTCAAAGCCAAAGTAAGACGGTTGGAGACCAAATTAGTTTCGGAATAAATTTCAAAGTGCCTGGAGCGAATGGCAGTGAATTGTCAGGTGGGATATCAAGTACTAACAGCATTTCTTTCACAAGCAACTGGGGGGTAAGGTCTTATAAGGAGACTTCTATTGCTGTCGGGTCTTCGTCAGAAGTTTTGGTAGACCTTGAGCCAGGGCAAGAAGCTATAGCTGTATTGTCAGCTACTAAAGGATCTATTGAAGTACAGATCGATTATATGACCAGCTTACAGGGAAATGTGGCCTGTGAGTTTTCGAAGACGTACCGAGGCCGATATTATTGGCGGCAGGATATAAATACGGTGCTCTCTGCTATTGATATGCCAATCCACATATTGTCGAGGCAGACTTTGAAGATCGGGTACTATTCTGAAGCTAAAGTCACGCTGACTGACAGAACGTCTAATAAGACGTTGTATGAAGGCCCAGGAGTGTTTAGAACATAAAAATAAATAGATTTATTAGATGGAAGTTTAGTAGTGTTTTATTTTTAGCAGAGCTAAGTACACTACTTATGTGCTTAATTATTCAAATAATGTGAAGCTATTGAAGCCTTTGTTACCTATGTAGTTAGCGCCTAGAGACGCTGGTTAGAGAATTGATTAGTCTGATATGTAGTTAAGCGTACAGAGACGCTAATTAGAGAATTAAAGACTGAAGGTCTTGGGTTCTATTCTCAAATCTAACTCTGAGTGTAGGCTTTTTAGGTTAGTTGAAACTTAGGCCCGAGGAGTCCAGAGTATGTAGGCATGGGATTCGAACCCACCACCGACCATGCTCTGAGCCAGAAGACACAACTATTATCTCTACCACATAGTGCACTTTTTGGGAATCGAACCCAGAATGTATCAGACTACCTACTACTACCACTTTTCACTTACTGGAATAAGTGAGACAAAAGTAGTGAAATCAGGAAATAGTGCACTTCATGGGAATCGAACCCAGAATGTATGAGACCTACCTACTACTCCCACTTTCCACTTACTGGAATAAGTGAGACATAAGTAGTGAAATCAGGAAATAGTGCACTTTCTGGGAATCGAACCCAGAATGTATCAGACCCTACCTATTTCTCCCACTTTCCACTTACTGGAATAGTGTGACAAAAAGGAGTGAAATCAGGAAAGAGTGCACTTTATGGGAATCGAACCCAGAATGCATGAGACCCTACCTACTACTCCCACTTTCCACTTAATGGAATAGTGAGATCAGGAAAGAACTAGGAACGGGAATCAAAACTCAGACATAAGAAAATGTATAAAAACGTTTATTATTTACAAATCTAGCTATTAATCTATTCAGACAGACATTTCAAAGAACTTGGTGCCGAGGGCTCTGTCGTGGACCACGACCTTGGCGTTGGAGTAGAATCCGATCTCCAGGACCTCGCGGGAGACCACGGCGTTGCTGATCCCACCACTGGACATCACTCCACGAACATCCAGCGCCCAGAAGTGGTGACCTTTGTAGGTCTTGGCGTAGTTCACGGCGTTAGCTCCATCCAAACTGGCCAAGTATTCAACCTCGACCTTCATTGAGCCTCTCGTGGCTTCGAGCTCAGCGACGACGCCTTGGCCTGGCTGGAGAAGGACTTCCATGCCTGATGATGCACCGATGGTCACGCTCTGGGATTGCTCGGTGTTCCTGCCCCATGAATTGGTGTATGAGTAGGATACGGCGCCTCCTCCGACGATGCCCTCGATGTTGATGCCGTAGCTGATCTCTTGACCAATAGTCAGCTGGCCACCAGTGCTCCAGGACGACGAGACAGTGTTCTGAACGGTCTGGGAGATGCCTACGTTGAAGGTGGCAGGTTTGGTGCTGTTGTTTTCGAAGAGCTGCCTCATGACGATCTGGGGTTGGGAGGAGATGGTCAGGACCTTAGCGCTGCGGGGGACCAGGGTCCTGGTGACTTGGGACCAGCCGTAGGTCTGGTACAAATCTCCCCAGGGGGTAGGGGAGCGGAGGTAGGCGTCGTCTGGGCGCTGCCCGAAGTAGGATCGGACGGCGTCTTTCAGGGCGGAGTCGCCGATCTTGAACGTGTTGCGTTCTTCGTCGCTGATGATGGCGACTTCATTGCCGGAGTAGTAGACCTGCATATTCTGGTTGTTAGGGTCGAACTTGCCGGCGACCTCGATGTCGATTCTGGCCAAAGCCAGCGCTGGCAGCGCGAGGAGGATGAACAGGAACGCCATGTTTCTGGAAACAAAGGAATTGATTAGAATCATGTTTATCATCAGATCAGCGGTCGATGAGGTTTATCAGAGACAATAGGACCTAACACTCGTAAACTGCTGAACGGATTGGGATGAAATATACAATAGCTTGTAAGTTAAATTCTGATGTTTAACTTGATTACAGGGGAGTAGAGTCGGGGCTAGTAACTAGTATGTATTTTAAAATATTATAGCGTACTTAATATCATAACTTTACATATTGCTATGAAAATAACGGACTTATGCAGATTTTAAATATCTTCCAGTTAACAATTGATCAATAAATTTAAAAAAAAAATGGGCAAAGTCGGGGCAAAGTCTAGTTATTGAAAGTGACACTTACCTAATCTTAGATCCGAATCGAGTACTCTGCAGGTATATCGATTAACGAATGATATTTAATTTAATGGTGCGTTTTTATATGTAACAACCATGTAGCAGTGCAACTGGAAATTTAGTCAGTTTTCATATTGGCTAATATCTCCTCGTGATGTCATGACACTACGATATTGATTGATTACACGTTTTATCATCAACATCATCATTTCAACCACAGGCAATCCACTGCTGAACATAGTCGCGTCCCCCAATGATTTCCATGTGGACCATTTCCATGTTGTTGGCAAACCTTTATGAGGTCGTCGGTCCACGGTGTAGACCGTACAGGATATACGCGTTGAGTGAGAAAAAAATTAAAAACCAACCATAGGTTACCAAACCGGTAGGATAAATCAAAAAACTAACTCAATCTCC